GACCCATAAGATTCAAATTTTGTTATTTTAGATAACAAATTTTGTTATTTAGATCGAAAATTGGGCACGACCTTTCATGGGGGATATGACTAAAAATCGACTAATATCGAACTTTTTTTAAAAAGAGGTTTATCGTTCCGAAAGGACCGAAATTCGAATAAACCCATGTAAATACCGGTACCTTTAAATGAATGTCATGCAAAATAGGAACCTATTACTGAAATTCGGAAGGGAAATGCTGCTGAATCGCAATAAAAGCTCTGAAAACTGGGCGGGAATTTTATGTGGGGGCTATATTATTATACCCTTCACCACACTGTGGTACAGGGTATTATGTATTTGTGCATATTTTTGTAACATGCAAAAATAATCGAGATAGACCCATGGTTCCTTTTGAGAATATGCATAGAATGACTTTCTGAGTCGATTTATGCATGTCCGTCCGTCCGTCTGTTAGTGTTAAATTGTAAACAAAGTACAGGTCGCATTTATGATCCGAATTGGATGAAATTTGGCACAGCTCACTTGTTTGTCCCAATGACGAACCCTATTGAAATTGGGAAAAATCGGTTCAGATTTAGATATAGCTCCTATATATATTTTCGTCCGATTTAAGGTTAATGGTGCACCAAAGTCATTATATAACTTTGGATTTGCACGAAATTTGGCACAGCGTAATGAATAAGGTCTAGAATGATGTCTGCCAAGTTTCCTGAAAATCGGTTCAGATTTAGATATAGCTCCCATATATATCTTCGTCCGATTTAAGGTAAATTGTGCACCAAAGTCCCTATATATCGATTTGCACGAAAATTGGCACAGCGTAATGAATAAGGTCTAGAATGATGTCTGCCAAGTTTCGTGAAAATCGGTTCAGATTTAGATATAGCTCCCATATATATTTTCGTTCGATTTCATGTAAATGGTGCCCCACAGTCCCTATATATCTTTCGATTTGCACGAAATTTGGCATAACGTATTGAATTAAGTCTAGAATGATGTGTGTAAAGTTTCAAGAATATTGGTTCCGATTTAGATATAGCTCCATATATAGTTTCGGCCGATTTTAGGTAATTGGAGCACCAAAGTCCCTAGAAATCTTTTAATTTGCACGAACTTTAGTATTTTCCTTACTGGTTAAAATTTGGAACTATACGGACAATTTTCCGATTCGGTTAAGTAACGCGCCCATAAAGCCCTATATACCGAATAATGGAGGTGTCGGTATATATTAGGATTATACTAAAATGTGGGTCTGGATTAATATTTTTGGTAGGAAGATTTGGTAGAAAATCGTGTCAAACTCATGAAATTACCGAAAAGTTTTATAGGGGCTTTGCTACTCAATACGAACCCAAATTCTGTTGAAAACGAACCGCTGTGGTTATATTTTACATATGTATCCCTTTCGAAGGAACATTGACATGAAATTGAATGAATGTAAGTATGTGATCTTCATTTCATTCGGGTAGATTTAGAGTCGTTTGCGTACAATGCGACACATTTATGTAAATCGATTTAAATCACTGTTCCAAAATTAATATCAATCAGATACCCGTTCGAAATATATATGGAAGCTATGTCTGCATCTGCACCTATTTCAACAAAACGCAATAACGTCATTCTAGTGTCAATTTCATACCCTGAGCAAAATTTCCTGTCAATTGGACAAACATTACGAGTTTGGTACGCCATTTACGAAAATAGATATGGGAGGTATATCTATATCTGCACCGATTTTCACGAAACTTAACACACATCATTCTAGACGTAATTCAGTCCGCTATGCCAAGTTTCGTGTAAATCGAAAGAAATGTAAAGGCTTTGGAAATTTATTAACATAAAATCGTACCAAAATATGTATGGGTGCTATATCTAAATCTGATATAGCACCCAAATATATGCCAAATTTTATCAAATCGAAAGAAATGCAGGGTCCTTGTACTAAATTAACATATAATCGGACGATTTTCACGAAACTTAACACACATCTTTCTAGACTTGAATTCAGTACGCTATGCAAAATTTCGTGCAAATCGAAATATATATATGGACTTTGTTGCACCATTTACATGAAATCGGACGCAAATAATATATGAGAGTAATATCTAAATCTGAACCGATTTTACCCAATTTAATAGGGTTCGTCCTTCTGCCAAATTTCATCCAATTCGGATCATAATTGCGACCTGTACCTTGTTTACAATTTAACATGAACAGGCAGACGGACGGACATGCATAAATCGTCACAGAAGTGAAGAGATTCTATGCATATTCTCAAAAGGATCCATTTGTCGATTTCGTTTCCTTTTGCCTGTTACAAACATATACAGAAAGACATAATACCCTGTGCCACAGCGTGTTGAAGGGTATAAAAACTGGTGGAGGGACTGTCATGTTCTGGGGGTGTATTGCTCGTAATGGCCTCGGTAACTTTGTACCAATTGTCGGAAACATGAACCAACATCAATATTTATTGATTTTGAGGGACCACGCATTGCCTTCTGGACAGAAATTAATAGGGCGTCATTTTATTTTACAGCAGGACAATGCTCCCTGCCACCGGAGTAAACTGATTAAAGAATGTTATTTGAATTTTGCCTTGTAAGGGCAGTGATCATTTGAAAGTAATTTTAAGTGGTTATTTATACTCTTTCGAGTCGAGCTTGATGATCTAAGTTTTGCAATGAAAAGGAAAGCCAGGAGAAGAACCTACGTATCCACCATTATGCGACGCGTTTCGCCGTTGGTTAAGCGGCTCATCAGGCATATTGGGCTATGTGGCTTTACAAATGTCGTACGTTGATATCTTGTATTTATTCCGCCCTGATGCGAAACTTGCATATGCGAATTAAATTCAAATTTGTCAAAGTTCGACATTTGGCTAGGGCTCGAACCTAGGTCCTCTGAGCAACACTAATGTTGCCAAGACCGCTTAACGTTCTGAGCCATCAACACTTCCAAAAACGGTTGCGCAAAAACATGTGTATACCAGGAAGCAATTGTAGGTGTTTGGATTAATTATCCATCTCTACAACAAAAATCTGCTTTGAAAAGGACTGTTCCTAGAATGAAGACAAATGTCGAACTTTGACAAATTTGAATTTAATTCGCATATGCAAGTTTCGCATCAGGGCGGAATAAATACAAGTTATCAACGTACGACATTTGTAAAGCCACATAGCCCAATATGCCTGATGAGCCGCTTAACCAACGGCGAAACGCGTCGCATAATGGTGGGTACGTAGGTTCTTCTCCTGGCTTTCCTTTTCATTGCAAAACTTAGATCATCAAGCTCGACTCGAAAGAGTATAAATAACCACTTAAAACTGATTAAAGAATATTTTAAAGATATGGATCTCAATGTGCTGAGTTGGCCACCTCAAAGTCCTGATTTAAATGTTATTGAGAATGTGTGGGCGTATATAAAAAGAAAGAGAAAGATTTCACTGAATAAAACTCGAGATGAGACTATTTCAGAAGTTACCGCTCTATGGAACGAGGTTCCAGCGGACTTGCTGAAAACGCTGGTGGATTCCGTACCGAGGCGGCTCCAAAAGGTGATTGCAGCTAACGGAGGTTATACCTTCTACTAATCTCTACATTAAACATGTATTTTGTTGCTGTTATAGAGATTTAAGCAATATTTATTAATCATTTCTCCTTTGTCAAAATACTTTTGCCAAGCCATTAAAATGGTTATATGTAAAAATGTTAGTTTTTTAAATGAATTACTTTTTGGTTATATTTTTTAAATATGTATTTTATCTAAACCTTACTAAAAAACAACGTGTCTCATTTGTATTCTCTAAAATAACAATTTAAATAAACGAAAGCTGTTTTTATTTTCTTGACAAAATAATTATGCCTATGACTGTACTTTATAAGCTTGAAATGTTAATTTATTGGACTTATAAACGGATGGACATAGTTAATATTCCATACTATGGTGGAGGGCAGGGACGTACGCAGGGGGGCGGTCCGAATTCACCGGATTTAGCTCCCCCAACTGACTTTCTCTCTTCCCAACACTGCAGACACAGAGAAAAGCGTTTTGTTACGTTTGAGGGGAGATTTCAAAAATATTACAGTTGCCCTAGTCAAAAACTATTTTTAATAAGCCACAAAGGCAAATTCTCACACAAAATAATCTTTCTAAAGCGTAGTAATTCGCTAGTCTCTAATTCTATATTATGACAAGTTCATTAAGTGGTATTTTGGAATCAATTGTTTAATATCCCCTAATAACAGCGTGATGAATAATTACAGTTTCCCCAAATAATAATCATCTGTGGGGAAACTTGTTTCAAATTATTACCACACAAAATGGGTGCTATGATTTGCAATGAAATCTTTAAAACCATAATCTGAAATTTAAACAAATATAACAAATTAAATATTAAAATGATTTTAATAAATCACGAATGCAATTTGAAATGCACTCATGATTGTGCGTTTCAAATTAGCCCTTTTGTTAATGTTAACATATTAGGAATATCAACCACATCATTTGAAATAATTTATATTGTAACACGTGGAAACGTGTATAGTCAAGTAAGTCGTAACGATTTGTTCGGTGTAAAAAATAATTGTTTGCTCCCAACGTATGCAGCCTATAATGATGATATGACAGTTTCACTTATTTTTCTCATAAAATGTGCATCCAATTAAAATCGCATGAGATAAAATTGTTTTACAACTTGGATAACAAACCAGTTGAACGCAAGTGAATTTAAATCGGTTTGCAGTGACGAAACGAAACGCAAGATAAATGCCCATAAATGTCAGAACCGTATAATAACGAACACAACAATGTGTTATTATTTATTTATGAATGCAATTCATTGCATTCCTTATTTACAAGATGTTACTTAATTGTGTGCGGTTGCATGTGCAAATGCATTGTTTTAAAAAAGGGCAAAATTGCATTGAAGTAGATTTAGTTGTGATTCGTCAATAGGTTAAGTAGCATTGGAAACGGTTATCTCGATTGCGGAAATATGAGTATTACCTACGATAAAGTTAATAAAATATGGTCTAGTGAAAGAGAAGATCCCATTTATAGTGAGAGTACATCATTGGGACAAATTGTCTATCAACAATTGCAAAATTTTCCCAATAAAGTGATACAGGTTCGTTGCAGGTGTTGGTCAGTTATTTATATAAAGTGAAACAAATACAGAATATTTATCGATCTCTGGACGACAAATTAACATACGTTGTAGCTGAGTTTTGGTTTATTGTGAAATGCGTAAACTTTTGTTTCATACGTTATAATTTTTGTCATAAAAATATAAACAAGTGAAAAAGCATTAAGTTCGGAACTTTGGATACCCTCCACCATGACAAATACTTGAAATGAAAATATAGAGAACATACCAAAAAGTGAACCTATACCAATAATTCTACATGTAAACCATTGTGTACACCAAATAAAAATTTTAACAATTTTTAATGAAAACCCCAAAGTGTGGACTTATAATAATAACGCACGGTAGAAAATACTATCCTCAAACTACTGCAATTTAGATTACAATGTTAGATTACATAGTGTAGGAATTAGCGAATATTTGGGGTTACAATTATATGAGGCCTATGACTAATTAATGACCGACAAATGTCAATTTCGAAACCAATATTTTTGTTTTGTGTCCCAATTCTTTCCTTCAGGGGTGTATAATTATATGGTGGAGACGCCTAAATGCTGGCCGATATATTTCATTATCGTCAGGTTCGAATTTTTTATCACGAAAGCAGTATGATTACAAACGATGGCTAAATCGTCTTAAAATTAAATAATTTGCAGGATAAAACTGACTATTTCGAGTAACGACATTCCCCCTATACTATGGTAAAAACGCCTATATGGGGACAACCCCTACACATGGAACTAATCAGCTAACTATTTTAATATAAGAAGTTATATTGGAAGAATATTAATAATTTTTGGTAGGAAGATTTGTTACCATATGCGACCAAAAATTCCAAATATGGGGGCTACCAGAAAAAAGGACCGATATTTATAATTTGTAGTGGAGACATTTGTTACCCAAATATAACCAATTTACCAAATTTCAACGAATTCGGTTTGAAAAACGCGATCAAGAACCCCAAAATACCGTTATATGGGGGCTACCAGAAAAAGTGGACCGGTATTTATAAATTGTAGTGGAGACCTTTGGTATCCAAAAATAACTCAACGTACCAAATTTCAGCAAAATACCGAAAATTGGGGATGTCATTTTGTGGGGGCTATCCGAAAAATGGAACTATATTAATAATTTTTGGTGGAGACATGGAACCCAAAAAGAACCCAATGTACCAAATTTCAGCGAATTCGGTTGAAAAACGCGCTTAACAACCCCAAAATGGCAAAAATTGAGTGGTACCCTTATATGGGGGCTATGACTAAACGTGGAGCGATGTAGCCCATCTTCGAACTTGACCTGCCTGTAGACAAAAGACCCTATGAAAATTTTTAGCGATATATCTCAATTCCTTCAGAAGATAACGTGATTACAACAGACGGACGGACGGACAGATGGACATGGCTAGATCGTCTTTCAATTTTACCCTGATCAAGAATATATATACTTTATAGTAACGGAAATGAATATTTCGATGAGTTACAGACGGAATGACAAAATTAATATACCCTACATACTGTGGTGGATGGTATAAAAAATACCTGCAGTATGAATTTTGCACATCAATTTTAATTACTCTCATGGGACATATCGGTGAACTTTCTGGTATAGCCTCATTACAGTAACACTCAAAATTCGGGATTTTTATGCTTTTGGGTACATTTTTAGGGCATAATGCAATAATATAGTTCCCATATAAACGTTTCGACGATTTGAGGAATCTTAAAATGCACACACGTGGTGGATGTTATAAGAAGTTCGGCTGTTATTTACTTACAAAAATTTAAACAAGTTCGATTTAGTTACAGATAACAACATTGGCAACAATTTGTACTAACATTTGGAAAGTCGTCCTTAATAAAGACAAGTGAAAAAGCGTTAAGTTCGGCCGGGCCGAACTTTGGATACCATCCTTGGATAACTTTGGATACCCTGACAGGTACTTGAAATTAAATATATGGAAAATACCAAAAAGTGGACCTACACCGACATTTCTACAAATCGATTATGTAAATCATAATGTAAACCATAGACCATAAATCAAAACCCCCAAAATACTGAAAATTAGGAGGTACCGTTATATGGGGACAACCAGAAAAAGTGGACCTATATTCATAATTTTTAGTGAATATATTTAGTGTACAATAGGAACCCAATATACCAAATTTCAGCGAATTCGGTTGAAAAGCGTACTCAAGAACTGCAAAATAGGGAAAATCGGGGGTACCGTTATATGGGAGCTATGCCTAAACGTGGACCGATATATCCCATCTGTCTGCAGACAAAAGACAAACCTATGCAAAATGTCAGCACCCTATATCAATTCCTTCAGAAGATGGCGTGATTACAGCAGACGGACGGACATGGCTAGATCGTCTTAGAATTTTACCCTGATCTTTTCATTGCAAAACTTAGATCGTTATGATCGATTCGAAAGAGTATAAATAACGCACTGATCAAAAATATATATATACTTTATACGGTCTTAAATGAATATTTCGATGAGTTACAAACGGAATGACAAAATTAATATACCCTCCAACTATGGTGGAGGGTTTAAAAATAATGGTTCGAATGTACCAGAAATTGCAGGAATTACTAAATATTAATAAAAAATTCCAATTATAAGTAAATGTTTGAAATTAAAACTCGAAGGTGGGAAATACTCTAAAGGAATGCTTAGATTTCGATACGCTTTATTGAATAATGCCAGTATATTTATGTAGGTGATTTGGAGGGGGCTTTGGTCGTATTGGCTAATGGGTGTGCTTTAAAGGAGTAACATATTATTCAACATGTCAAGAAACGCCTGGTATCACCACATAAACATACACAGAAAAAAAGCCACCCCGAAATTTTTGATTAAAAGCTTCATCAGCGTTCGACAAAAAGATGTCGATAAAATATTTCAAACGTAGTCGGAAATGTTTATCAAACACCAACAATTCACAAAAAAACCATCAACAAACGAGTTTGACCAAAAAAATTATTAAATTTGTTGGACAATTTTTAATAATTTTTTTGTAATATGCCATATTATTTTTTATTACGTTATTACAAAGTACTTTGTTGAATAGATTGTAAAAGATGGATAACAAATATAAGTTTTTATTCGGTATAGAGCTACACATTTAGTTTAAAGTCGTTAAAATACTGAAAATTTGGAGTGTTTTTGTGGGAGAGCTGTAATAATAAGGGTAAAAATCGGCAATTGCTGTTTAAAAGGTTTTGTATCGTACTACAAGAAATTTAATTTGAAATAATAATAATAATTTGATAAACAAGATTGTCAATATGAAAAATATTTTATCGATTAACAAAATAAAATTCAACAAAATTTTTAGTATATATGAGAATTGTTTTATCAAAATATTTTCGAATGGGATTACAATTTTTTTTATCGGCGATTGTAAATATGACCTTTATTTTTATCGGCGAAAAATCAATCGAATTTTAATTGGATTTTTGAATTTTTTTATCAAATGGTTACAATTTTTTTTTCTGTGTATCAATGCTGGAGTCGTTTATCAAAAAATATATCTGTGACCATACTATGAGGTTCACACTGAAAATAATTATGAGGTTCATGAGTGAAAATAATTAAAATCGTCTGCAACCCTCCTTTCGTGGTTATGCTTAAACACGGAAATACATATGTTTGTAACAGGCAAAAATAATCGAGATAGATCCATGGTTCCTTTTGAGAATATGCATAGAATCACTTTCTTAGTCGATTTATGCATGTCCGTCCGTCCGTCTGTCTGTCCATGTTAAATTGTAAACAAAGTACAGGTCGCATTTATGATCCGAATTGGATGAAATTTGGCACAGCTCATTTGTTTGAAAATCGGTTCAGAGTTAGATATAGCTTCCATATATATTATCGTCCGATTTAAGGTAATTGGTGCATCAAAGACCCTATATATCTTACGATTTGCACGAAATTTGGCATAACGTACTGAGTTGAGCGTAGAGTGATGTCTGTCAAGATTTGTGAAAATCGGTCAAGATTTAGATATAGCTCCCATATATATTTTCGTCCGATTTAATGTAAATGGTGCACCAAAGTCCACATATATCTTTCGATTTGCACGAAATTTAGCATAGCGTGCTGAATTAAGTCTAGAATGATGTGTGCAAAGTTTCGTGAAAATTGGTTCAGATTTAGATGTAGCTCCCATATATAGTTTCGTTCGATTTCATGTAAATGGTGCACCAAAGTCCCTATATATCTTTCGATTTGCACGAAATTTGGCATAACGTACTGAGTTGAGCGTAGAGTGATGTCTGTCAAGTTTTGTGAAAATCGGTCAAGATTTAGATATAACTCCCATATATATTTTCGTCCGATTTAATGTAAATGGTGCACCAAAGTCCACATATAGCTTTTGATATGCACGAAATTTGGCATAGCGTACTGAATTTAGTCCAGAATGATGTGTGACAAGTTTCGTGAAAATTGGTTGAGATTTAGATACAGCTCCCTTATATTATAGATTGATTTTAAGTAATTGACACACCAAGGAATCAATAGGATAGGAACAAAACGTACTGAAATTAGTATAACCTAACCTGTGACAAGTTTCGTTGGAATCGGTTCATATTTGGATATAGCTTCCATATATATTTTCGTCCGATTTGAAGTAAATGGTGCATCAAACTCCTCATGCTTGTCAGATTGTCTGAAATGTTGCTGAATGTACAAAATTGAGCATAGAATTACGTAGATCTAGGTAGATTCACATTTAGATATATATCACATATTTTATTTCATCCAATTTAATGTTAATAGTCCTGTTTAATATACACATAGTGGTGAAGGGTATCATATTGTCGTCCCGTCCGACTTTACTACTTTCCTTACTGGTTTGACATGTCCAAGGCGAATCGTGATCTTGTTTGATTCGAACTTGGCACACCTTAAATATCGGTTATATAGTCCCATCCCCTCTGGTACATGTCTTACAATTGTATATGGGGTATTATTTGCTTTAATTTCAGATCGATGATACAAATAATACCAAAGTAACGAGTCAGCAAACATTACTCTGGGGCATACGCATAGCACAACACTTGAGAAAACTACAGTTGAGCGAGAACGATGTTATAAGCATTGTGGCTAGCAATACGACATATGTCCTACCCGCCGTACTGGGTTGTCTGTTTAATGGTACACCAATACATACAGTTAATCCAAAATTGGACTTGGGTAAGTTTTCGCGACGTTAGGGCAATTGTTTATAGTTACAAATAAAATCCCGTTATTATAACTTCAGGCTTATGGCAAATGAGAGTATATACACTTTGCTACTTCAAAAATATGCCTCGTCGAAATTTCGTTTCAAACACCAAGGTTCTTTGGGCCAAACTAGTTCCAACCAATTTGAGATCGAAAAATTTTTATTTTTCTTTTTACAAAAAATAAAATTTTAATCTATTTTCAGACACTATTTCCCATTGTTTAAATATAACCAAACCGAAATTAATATTCTGCGATGGAGATAACTATGAATTATTACAAAAGGCATCAAGTTCGTTTAGGACTAAGTTGTATACGTTATCGGGACATGTAAAAGGTGTAACCAAAATTGAAGATCTATTGGAAGTTACAACAACCGAAAATTCATATAGGTAAGTCCCCAAACTGCATTTTTTAAAGTAGAATGATCCGAGTGAGTCAAATGCCAAACCTAACATAACGACTTTTTACTGGTTTTAAATATTTTCCAGACCTGTAAAGTTATCCAAGGGAATTCATCAAACCGTAGCAATTCTTTGTTCTTCGGGGACAACTGGCAAGCCTAAAGCCGTTTGCATTTCATCTTCACTGTTCCTCATACACGATTGGTAAGATTCCCTTATATATGTCTATATTCTATTCTATTTTAACTTTTCTGATAATCTCAAATAAATTTCCAGGGTCAATAACTATGACAGCGTTCTCTACATATCCAGTGGTATTGATTGGATTACCGGCATATTTTTCCTTTACAGCAGCTGTATACGAGGCTTTACAAGGATAATATTTAACAAAAGTTTTGAAGCAGGTCACTTCTTGGAAATTCTTCATAAATACAAAATTACTACAGCTTTCCTATCATCCCGCTACGTTGCTGCATTGGTTCAGCATCCGAATGTATCCCGCGAATCTCTAAAACACTTGAAAGCCATAACATTTGGTGGTTCGACGCTGAGTGAAGTAAATTCGGAAAAATTAATACAAATATGTACTGAAAGTGCACAAATTGGCTTTTGTTATGGCAGCACAGAAATGGGTCCAATAACCCAAAGATTGGAAAAACGGAAATTCAATTCAGTGGGAAAATTATTCAATAATCTTCAAATGGCCATTGTTACCGATGACGGGCAGCATTGTGGCCCAAATGAAATTGGAGAAATTGTAATCAGAATGCCTCATCCATGGAATGGTTATTACAATAACCCCCTTGAAACTGAAAAGGCCTTTGATAGTCGGGGATGGTTCCACAGTGGAGATTTGGGTTATGTAGATGATGAGCATGATTTATTTATTGTCGATCGTAAAAAGGAAATTTTGAAATATAGAGGCATGCAATTTTCAACAAATGAAATTGAAGGAGTCATTGCTGAGCTGCAGGGGGTTCGTGATGTCTGTGTGGTATCTATGGTTAATGAAACCGATGGTGATTTGGCGGGAGCTTTGGTAGTATTGGCTGAGGGGTGTACTTTAAAGGAGCGACATATTATCGAACATGTCAAGAAACGCCTGGTGTCACCGCATAAACATCTCAATGCCGGAGCCTACTTTGTTGACAGGTTACCTCAGAATTTAAATGGTAAATTAATTAAGAAAGAAGCCAGAGAATTATTGAAGATATTGTCTCAGAAAAATCATTAGAATTCGTTATATATTTATTAAGGGGATTGTGTAGAATGTAAAAATAAAATCAGTAAATAAATAAAAAATATTCTTAAAAATCAGAGGCGACCACAAAAATCTATTTTTGTTGTAAAAAATCTTTAAAAATATTTAAAAAACTAAACTTTTATAGCATTGAACATTTCTATACTCTACACAACTATGTTGTCAGGGTATTATAGCTTTGTGAAGCTCCAAGAGTTTGTAACGCCACGAAATATTGGTCCTAGACAAACCTTTAAGTATACAGATCGTCATATCTCGACTAGCTGAGTCGATGTGTCCGTCCGTCTGTCCATTATAATTTGTAAACACGATACAGGCCACAGTTATGGACCAATCTTCACCAAACTTGTTTTTGCATGTATGATGGGTTCGGCCCAATAAAGACCCCTATTGTTTTTGGAAAATATCGGTTAATATTTAGGGGATGAAGTGCACCAAATACTTAATTTTTGTCGGGTTTTCTGGTCGCTCCAGAGGACGCAGTTATGACCCAAACATGGAGAAGGGGATTGGGTCAAAGAATAAGCATGCCTATTTTGATAAAGATCGGTTAATGTTCAGCGGGTCAAATGGATCCTGACTTTTGTGTGAAAAATTACAAAATTTGTATTCTGTGACGTATACATTTACTCCTGAAGGACATAGAGCCATTACCACACTGGAGGGCGGAATTAAGCGCTGATCGCTTTGAAATTTTCCATGAGGTTCCAGTTATAGTCCACGCCTATTATGGCCCTTGAAAAAAATATTTTTAATAAATCCACGCCTATTATGGCCCTTGAAAAAAATATTTTTAATAAATCCACGCCTATTATGGCCCTTGAAAAAAATATTTTTAATAAATCCACGCCTATTATGGCCCTTGAAAAAAATATTTTTAATAAATCCACGCCTATTATGGCCCTTGAAAAAAATATTTTTAATAAATCCACGCCTATTATGGCCCTTGAAAAAAATATTTTTAATAAATCCACGCCTATTATGGCCCTTGAAAAAAATATTTTTAATAAATCCACGCCTATTATGGCCCTTGAAAAAAATATTTTTAATAAATCCACGCCTATTATGGCCCTTGAAAAAAATATTTTTAATAAATCCACGCCTATTATGGCCCTTGAAAAAAATATTTTTAATAAATCCACGCCTATTATGGCCCTTGAAAAAAATATTTTTAATAAATCCACGCCTATTATGGCCCTTGAAAAAAATATTTTTAATAAATCCACGCCTATTATGGCCCTTGAAAAAAATATTTTTAATAAATCCACGCCTATTATGGCCCTTGAAAAAAATATTTTTAATAAATCCACGCCTTGATAAATCCACGCCTATTATGGCCCTTGAAAAAAATATTTTTAATAAATCCACGCCTATTATGGCCCTTGAAAAAAATATTTTTAATAAATCCACGCCTATTATGGCCCTTGAAAAAAATATTTTTAATAAATCCACGCCTATTATGGCCCTTGAAAAAAATATTTTTAATAAATCCACGCCTATTATGGCCCTTGAAAAAAATATTTTTAATAAATCCACGCCTATTATGGCCCTTGAAAAAAATATTTTTAATAAATCCACGCCTATTATGGCCCTTGAAAAAAATATTTTTAATAAATCCACGCCTATTATGGCCCTTGAAAAAAATATTTTTAATAAATCCACGCCTATTATGGCCCTTGAAAAAAATATTTTTAATAAATCCACGCCTATTATGGCCCTTGAAAAAAATATTTTTAATAAATCCACGCCTATTATGGCCCTTGAAAAAAATATTTTTAATAAATCCACGCCTATTATGGCCCTTGAAAAAAATATTTTTAATAAATCCACGCCTATTATGGCCCTTGAAAAAAATATTTTTAATAAATCCACGCCTATTATGGCCCTTGAAAAAAATATTTTTAATAAATCCACGCCTATTATGGCCCTTGAAAAAAATATTTTTAATAAATCCACGCCTATTATGGCCCTTGAAAAAAATATTTTTAATAAATCCACGCCTATTATGGCCCTTGAAAAAAATATTTTTAATAAATCCACGCCTATTATGGCCCTTGAAAAAAAATATTTTTAATAAATCCACGCCTATTATGGTCCTTGAAAAAAATATTTTTAATAAATCCACGCCTATTATGGCCCTTGAAAAAAATATTTTTAATAAATCCACGCCTATTATGGCCCTTGAAAAAAATATTTTTAATAAATCCACGCCTATTATGGCCCTTGAAAAAAATATTTTTAATAAATCCACGCCTATTATGGCCCTTGAAAAAAATATTTTTAATAAATCCACGCCTATTATGGCCCTTGAAAAAAATATTTTTAATAAATCCACGCCTATTATGGCCCTTGAAAAAAATATTTTTAATAAATCCACGCCTATTATGGCCCTTGAAAAAAATATTTTTAATAAATCCACGCCTATTATGGCCCTTGAAAAAAATATTTTTAATAAATCCACGCCTATTATGGCCCTTGAAAAAAATATTTTTAATAAATCCACGCCTATTATGGCCCTTGAAAAAAATATTTTTAATAAATCCACGCCTATTATGGCCCTTGAAAAAAATATTTTTAATAAATCCACGCCTATTATGGCCCTTGAAAAAGAATATTTGTAATAAATCCACGCCTAATATGACCCTTGAAAAAATATTTTTAATAAATCCACGCCTATTATGGCCCTTGAAAAAGAATATTTGTAATATATCCACGCCTAATATGGCCCTTGAAAAAAATATTTTTAATAAATCCACGCCTATTATGGCCCTTGAAAAAATATTTTTAATAAATCCACGCCTATTATGGCCCTTGAAAAAATATTTTTAATAAATCCACGCCTATTATGGCCCTTGAAAAAAATATTTTTAATAAATCCACGCCTATTATGGCCCTTGAAAAAAATATTTTTAATAAATCCACGCCTATTATGGCCCTTGAAAAAAATATTTTTAATAAATCCACGCCTATTATGGCCCTTGAAAAAAATTTTTTAATAAATCCACGCCTATTATGGCCCTTGAAAAAAATATTTTTAATAAATCCACGCCTATTATGGCCCTTGAAAAAAATATTTTTAATAAATCCACGCCTATTATGGCCCTTGAAAAAAATATTTTTAATAAATCCACGCCTATTTTGGCCCTTGAAAAAAATATTTTTAATAAATCCACGCCTATTACAGCCCTTGAAAAAAATATTTTTAATAAATCCACGCCTATTATGACCCTTGAAAAAAATATTTTTAATAAATCCACGGCTATTATGGCCCTTGAAAAAAATATTTTTAATAAATCCACGCCTATTATGGCCCTTGAAAAAATATTTTTAATAAATCCATGTTTTGAATATTGTGATTGATTAGTTAATTGGCAACACATATATTTTATGTAAGTAGAGATCCCTACAATGATAAGTTACAATAAATATATATGGTTATTTTAAATGAAAGGATAGTGATGTAAGTAATCATTATGAATTATCTAGAATAAGAAATATCTAGAGTTAGAAGGTTCTAGAATAAGATAAGAATATATATAAGGAAATGTAACTAGATAGAGGATGCCAGTTTATAAAGTAACGTATACCAGTTTGTAGTAAGCAGTCAGCCCGTGTATAAAGTTACGCCAGTGTTAATAAGTCTTGTAAAGGCTGTGTATAAGTAATAAAGTCTGCCAAGAACCCCGTATCGTCCGTGTTTCATTTAATTGGTGGTCAGCAGCATCGTATGTCGCTGCAGCAGCAATTTTAAAATTATAATACCATGCCTATTATGACCCTTGAAAAAAATATTTTTAAAAAATTCACGCCTATATAAATAAATCCACGACTATTATAGAACTGTTTCTATATTCGCTTCGTCTGTATTTTTTAGAGTCGATTGTTCAATCTACGAATACATTCCAAGCAATATATTAATACAATACATTTTATGAACAAAATAATAAATATTCCAATTAATTAGTCGATTATAATTTATTATTCCCCAAGGTATGTATGAGTGTAAAACAATATCTCCTCCTATCATCTAAAAAAAAAAATATAAATTGTGACCATCCTTATCGTCTAAAATTGTTAATTAGTCCTTTTTTTATTAAATAATAGCATCGATTATCAGTTTATTTTTTTATTACCACCTAGAAATTATTTTTCTTTCATGGCTGCAACTAATTGTATAAATTTGATATAAACTTCCGAGTCCCATTCCTGTCGTAGCGTTTGCGAATGTTGGTGAATAAACAAAAATACAACAAAAAAATCCTAAAAAAAAATACTGAATATTTTCTCACTGTCAGTGGCAGACGACACAGCTAGCGAGAGAGCAGCCAACACCAGTAGAGGCCATAAAAAATAATGCCGTTAATAAATAATTCTTATTACATCCCGGCGTACTAGAACGCCAACACTATGAACTGTGAGGCGAACGACAATGTTTGAAAAAAAAGTTATATCAAAAGTAAATTAGAATGGAAAAAATACAAAAAAGTGACAACAAGAAAGAGGGGAATACTGTTGCGGGTATTGAAATTGTTCTTCTATTAGTTTATCTCTTCGGGAGGGAATTTTTAAAGGCCAATTTTTTGTATAGAGACCACTTTATAATGGTCAATTGGTCTGTATAGAGACTACAGGTATTTATTCTGGTCAATTGGTCAGCATAGATACCACAAGTCTTTATAAAGGACAATTGATTGTATGGAAACCACAGGCCTTAATAAAGGCCAATTGGGCTGTATAGAGACCAAAGGTCTTCTTCATACAGGCCAATTGGACTGTATAGAGTCCATGGGTCTTTATAGATATCAATTGGGCTGTATAGAGACCACAGGACTTTATAAGGACCAATTGGGCTGTATAGAGACCACAGGACTTTATAAGGACCAATTGGGCTGTATAGAGACCACAGGACTTTATAAGGACCAATTGGGCTGTATAGAGACCACAGGTCTTTATAAAGACCAATTGGGCTTTAT